TGGATTAACGAAACAGCTTTTCCCGTCACTCTTGGCGTTTCAAAGTAAATGTTGCTGTTTTGCTGATTGCACTTCACATTCAGACGTATCTATAATCTGAAAGCATTTTTATTTCTGTTTCTTTTTTACCTGTATATCACCTGCAGTGGCACCTCTCTTGACGTCGTAACGCACAACAAAATCACCGTTGAGGAGGGTTTCATCAAGCTCAGGATTTATCTTCTGTTGATCTACAGTTGGCTTAAATAAAATATGAGCCTGCAAAGCAATCAGAAGAAAAGATTTAAAGCAACATAACTTAAAGCTGCCACCGGCGGTAACGTCTGGTTTACCTTGGTTTCGTTCTGCACTTTCGTGAGCGCCTCGGTTAACTCATTTGTCATGAACGTGCTGTCTGTCTCCAAGAAGCGTATGCCTTGGGGCTCGAAGATGCGCACATCAATCTGACAGCGGAGGAGAAGTCGGTGTCAGCCTCTCGGAGGAGACGCGGCGGTGCCTGACAAACGCCGCGGTGCTCCCTGCCCAGCCCTCGCCGGGGCAGCTCACCTGGAAGTGCTTGACAAGCTGCTTCGGTCGGACCTTGATCAGCAGCTCGAACTTCCCCAGCTGCCGCTTCAACAGCTCCTCGTACGCCAGCTCAAAAGTGACTTTGCTGGCGGCCGCAATGCTGACGGACACGTGAAACTGCTCCAGTTTTCTGCCTGTGATTCTGGGGGGGAGAACAGGGATTTACCTCCTGCGGAGAAGGTTTGTGTGCGGTGGCCAAAGTTTGTGAAGTGTGCTAAATAATGTCCAACGGGCCGCATGAAATAAATAAAAAAAGAAACAGTAGTAGTAAATCTTACCGAAGAGAAGATTTTTTTTAACATTGTGACTGACATTATATTACATAAGCACGCCATGGGTGCTGCACATGCAAGCTGAGAAACGGAGCAGAAGCCTCTGCATGTCCCAGGCTGGGATCAAGCAGGACTGGGACTGAATACGTGGGAAGCACAGATTAAATATACCCCGAAAGCGTGACGTCTGCTCAAGTGCCATGGTCCTCTGCGCTTGCAGGGAAGCAGACTCAATGACTGAGCATCACCCCAGCCCGGCAAGGTCCTCCCGCGTGACAGGGAGTCCCAGGACATCACTAAACGGTGACACTTCCCACTGAAGCCCATTACAGGACCAGATATAAATCATATATATATATATACACACACACTCCGGCCCTCCCAACAAGAACCCAAGGCTGCTTTTCACATTTATCCCCACTGAGAGGTGGCTGGCTCCAGGGCTTAACCCACCCCCAGCCAAACAAGAAGCCGAGGAAGAGCATCGGAGCAGCCTTACTCAGGGTGGCAACGTACTTGACGAGGCCGGCGCTCTGCCCGTGTGAGACCGCAGTGTCATATTCCTTTTGAGCAGAGGCTTTTTCCTTTATTATTCCCGGGTATACTTTACCGTCGATCGACCTGTTTCGTTCCCATAAAAATTAATTAATATTAGAAGGAAAGTGCTGTGGAAAGAAACAAGAGGAACGTTGCACTTTGTGGCCGTTGGGACACGAGCAGGGGACGCTGTTTGGCTCTCCCACCCCTCCCCCTCCAGGAGGATGGCAGGGGCCACCACCACAACACAGCTCTCCTCCTTGCAGGGTCCCAGGGAGACTGGAACAGGAGAAAGACCACCACCGAGCACATCTGTCACCCACCCTGTGCAGCGGGCAGCCTCGCCCTGCCCCTGGGCACCTTCTTTCTATTTGGCTGCCTGCTTCTTTGCCCCACAGAGCATTTTGTGCAGAGCCCTCCAGAGCTCAGCTCTTTGTGCTT